ATAATCCAGTCACTGTGCATATTTAACATCGTATGCACTACTGAATGCTTGATGCATAAAACCCTCTTAAGACAATACATCACACTTATAATGTAAGTGAAGGCCAATTTCAAGCTTAACATAATAAAGGTGCCCATTGCTTTAACACAGGAAAGATGTTCCATTTGGTGCTTTATTTCTCCTTTGTGTTAACTCAAACATCATTCCTTTAATGCGGATAGTCTGGGCTTAATCTTTCAGTATTGTACCCAGGAATCACAGACAGCCTTTATACTAGCTAGGACATTAAGGACTCATGGCTCTGAGGAAAACTGCATATGCTGTTTTCTTCTTTCTACATAAGAAAGGTCCAGGCTATACTGCATGGTGTCACAGTAAGATATTTTTCACAGGCCAAGTACATACTTCAAACAAGTTAGATTTCATTATTCACAGTATGAAGTTCTCTCTCCCTCTCATGTCCCTAATCCCCCTTGTCACTTGCTTAAGCCAAGTTCAAACATGGTATCCAGCCTTCATACAAATGATATAATCATCTTTCCCACTCATATTTGCTTTATTTGCCAATGGAAAACAGACACTGGAAACCAGAATTTCACCAAGGATTTTAGGGAGCTGACAGGATATAAAGCAAAACCTAAATTTGTATGACTACATTTAGGAGGAGTTGAAAGAGAAGTCAAGAGCAAGTATACTGAAGAATTCTCATTGCTTACTACAGAGGTCTTTGATAGTTTCTATTTTCTGGGATATTTAAAGAAATAATCTCCCCTGCATTCCAACACATGCTGCAGGATGCCCAACCTAAGAGACATCTACCACCACTGCCTAAAAAGTAATTGTCACAGAAAAATACTAAGTATACATGGAATGAATTTACCATGTAAAATATATTTACATGGAAGCTATAAACTCAAATCTAAGATGACCATGAATTTAAGACACCCCACAATAATAAGATTCTATACATAGAAAATGTATACATTCGTTATAATTTTCCATGTATAGAATCTAATTATTGGACTAATTCAAACCTCCCACCAGTGCAGCGCGACAGGCAGTGAAGAGGCAGGTAGAATGGGGAGGTAAAGCAGCTTGTTCCTGCCGCCTACCTGTCCGTCCCCCCAGCCTTGGGTCTCCTCTTCCCCCTAGCTTCTGCTTCCCCCTTCCCCCTAGCCTCTTCTTTCTGCTATCTGCTACAGGGCCACACTCAGTGCCCCAGGATGCAGCATGGAGCCTGGCAGCACAGAGGAAGGGTAAGGGTGTGGGGAGGGAGAGGGACAGACAGGGGAGCAGAGGTTGTGTGGTGGGACAATATGGAACCTAGTTCATGTTCTAAGGGATGGTCCGGCAAAAGAAGGATTCTGGTTCGAAGACGAAGTGACTGCTTACCATATACTTTTGAATCCCTGCTTCTGGGTGAAGAAGTAGCAGCTCAGGGAACCATTTCTGCACCAGGTAATTAAGTTTCTCCTGAACAAAGAATATGTTCATCAGTATCACCACCCCAGGACAGGACAGGTACAACTGTATGTCAGAAGTTACAGCAACTGAAGTTCAAACAGTATGCCCATAAAATATGGGGTTTTTTTTAAAAATATTAAGCTGAATTTACAATGACTGCTCCTCCCCACATCAGCACCACTCTAAACATGATTACCTTTATAGTTTTTCAGAATTAATAACTGTCCAAAGTGAATTGTTTTAGAAAATAGAATTTTGGAGGTAACTTCAAGGTTCTGTGGGGACTCACTCATCTCTTCCAGGAATATGATGCACCCCCTTGACATTAACTCAATACTTGGCTTCATCACAGCATCAGAACAGAAACTGGATACTGGGAAAATTGAGGAGGAAACACCCCCTCCCCCAACCACAAGCCAACTAAACCTCAGAAAAAGAAACAAGCAGCCAGATGGCCAGGCTCAAGGCAATAAAAGAGAGGAGCTCACTATCTGCAACCAACACCACATGGCTGTACCATGTGTAGCTGACTATGATAATGGGTCATGCCCACAACCATAATCCCAAAGAGATAGGTAAATCAATAGTCCTGGTTCTGCTCTACATAACTTAAAATGAAGACCCATGGGTTCCTATTCTATTTCTCCAAGCAGTGGGATCACTGGTATTTATCCTGCCTTTGTCTCAGGAGAAACATCCCCACATTTTGTGCTAGTTGTAAGTGAACTCTTGTCCTACATCCTACAGGTAAGCATATTTCTTCAGCAGCTGAGCCCAGATTGTCACCTTCCAGCTACTCAGGACTGAGGACCATCTTTCCTCTTACTAGCTTAAATTGGAAAAGCTGAACTGATACAGAAAAGCCAAAACGATCAATTCTTCTTCCTCCACTCATGACATTATTTCAGAAGTGTCACTGAAGATGAGCACATCATTAGACTTCAGTACTGTGTTAATAGCCCCGTTTTTATTTTAACCAGAATGAATATCTAAAATTCAAAATAGCAAATGCAGATGTTACCCCTAAAATTACTTAGTTTAAAGCTGCTTAAATAATTAAATACTTACTAATTCTTTTTTTTCTTTATGTATTTCCTGAAAGAGGCTATTCCGCAGTGTAGTGATTTCTTGTTTTATTTTCGTCATTTCACAGTCATTGTAATCATCTGTCTATATGTAAGAATAACAAAAGTTATCATATATACTTTTCAAGATAACAACTTACTACAGAAGATTTAAGTGAAAGCCTCCATATCACATCATTCCTTCACTTTTTCCTTGGAAGCCTGGAGAAACATTTCCACTTTTTTTTTCCAGTAGTCTGGGACCTGTCAAATGAGTTTTTCCCCCAGTACAGAGGAAAAACATCACCTTTATTTAATTTGTTACTATAAAATAATTTCTGACACCACTATATTATTACCCATGTACCTGGAAGAGGATATCATAAAAATACTTGACAAACTTCTCTAGAGGAGAGCAGTTTACGATGCTGCTATATCGTAAAGAAAGCATTGCCAGCAAAGGTCATTTAACAGACCATCCCAAAGTTTAGCCTCCCCTCGGGTCCAAGACACCTGGACTACAAGAAAAAATTAGTAGGAGAAAGGTAAATTGGAAGAAGCCAATTAGCTAGTACATCTGTTCCCAGAGAGCTCTGACCTTCTTCTCTGGTGAAAAGTTTCATTTGCGCTTTCAGCAGGATGCAAAGAAATGTATAGGTAGTGGCCCAGCTGATGAGCAACCATTTTGAGCAATTCTTCTGTTACCCATTTTGGTGTGTACAGCACCACTCATGCTTTTCTCTCTGACAAAGTTATTTCACCCAGGCAGGTCTGGCATGGTATTTCAGCATTTTAATTTGAGTCCCTTGTTCCTTTTTATGTATAGCATGGTAATTCACATATCTGACTGGGCCAGGATATTTTCTCCTCCAAACTGTTCTGGAAGTCTCAAGACTCAACACCCTATTCATTTCCAGGGAGGGTTTACTCTTGATCCCTTCTAACCTGGAACAATCTCTTTACATTTTGTAGATGCCTGAATAAAAGAGCTACTGCTCCTAGCAGCAAATGCCACAAGGAAACCATGGCCATGATTATCATAGGCCAGGTGAGAGCCTGCTCACATGACAATTGCTCACAGACTTCAGCTTGGAAGAACTCTGGCCAACTCTGAACATTAACTATGACAAAGGGCTTTTCAGAACGAGGCAGATAAACGTCTTCCAGGTCTGTTAACAGCCAGTATTCTAACAGAGAACTGCAGCACCAGAAGCTATAGTCCCCATCTCATATTCAAGAGCGTTTGTAGACTGTGGCGGGCCAGTAGGGGGTGCTCTGGTGTTTAGCCATGCATCTCACTGCGCCCAACCACCTTCCAGGCTCCAAGTGCCTCCTGGGGGCATCTCACATAAAGCAGACTCCCTTCCTGGAGCCCACTTGCAAGCCTGGGGTAACAATGCCACCACCCAGAGTCTGGACTGATCGTGGACCTGTGCCCCCTGGGAAACAGGCCTAGCAGCCCTTGAGGGTACTCGACCCACTGCAAAAACTTGGGGTGCTTCCCACAGTCTGAAGCACAAATAAATAGTCAGCCAAACCAAGGGGA